TGACAAAAACAAGCTATAGAACTCTTAATATTTGACCTTACAGAGCAACTCTTGTGAACTTACAAGTTGGTTAGTTACAAATTAATGAACTAAGTAACCAGCATGAATGGTTATGATTGAAGGTACAAAATTAATTATGTTGGATTCTGTATATGTAGAAGGCCTGAATATGAATATTATGTTGATCCCATGGTACGAATTTTTCACTAACATGTAAACCCATATTCCCTTGTATCTTAACATATATTTGTTATTCAAAAGAAGTTTCCTTTGTTATTCACGGTGTGTATTGAGACAAATGTTTATGATATTTCATGGAAGGAATTTCTAATCTATTGACTTTGACTCTGGTCCCTGCAGATAGCTTTGTTTTACGTTGCTGTGCTTGCAGGGCTTCTGCACCGGTTCCCTGTAAGCTTTTCTCAGGTGTGAGCCAGTGGTGCTTGTTTCTTTCAACTCTGTCTCCGTTTTTCTTTTTGGTGCTTTGAAATTTGTGCTACATGGTTCTCAGTGAATACATGCTTGTGTACAGCACACAGCTGGTCAGATTAGGAACCGAAAATCTGGAGGCTCTGGCAGTGCTAAAGCATCTGAACAAGGGGAAACAATAACCTTTGCTGATGTTGCTGGTGTTGATGAGGCTAAAGAGGAGCTAGAAGAAATTGTGGTATGTTGGACACCCCTCAGTTTACTTTGATATAACTATTGGATCATCAGAGTCTTCTAGAGGATCCTAAAGACTTTCTAGTGTTTCCTAGAAAAGTTCTTCTATTTATTTTCTTGAAAAAAAATGTTTGCCTTGATGTTTACTGACCAGGAATTTCTTCGGAATCCAGACAAGTATGTACGACTTGGTGCTCGTCCTCCACGAGGAGTTCTCTTGGTGAGTTTTAGCGAAAACTAAGAATGAATGTGACCTCATAAACCAGAGAGTGGGAAGTCATATATGGTTAACTTGATAGGCCAACTATGCTAGGTCTGTTTCTTGGAGATTTCCCATGCCCCAAGTTATTAGTATAGGGAGCTGCCCACTTAATAGTATTTTCTGTGTTATTTTTCTTTTGACACTTCATTTACAATACTGTATCATTGGCGAGATAAATCTTTGCACCTGGACATTTTTTTAGTTTTACCCTTGAATGGTCCCATCCACTGCTTGTATGCCAGTGTATGTTTGGAGGCTGTGTAGAAGAGTCTGTAGTTTGTTTAATATTGGGAAAGTATGGCTTCGTTTATCCTACAGGTGGGTCTTCCTGGGACAGGCAAGACTCTTCTTGCCAAGGCTGTGGCTGGGGAAGCTGAAGTGCCCTTTATAAGTTGCTCTGCTAGTGAGTTCGTAGAGTTGTATGTTGGCATGGGTGCCTCTCGCGTAAGGGATCTATTTGCACGGGCAAAAAAGGAGGCACCGTCAATAATATTCATTGATGAGGTTTGGACATGGATGTTTGCTTGTGTTATCTTGATTCTTGACCTATGTGGTTTTCCGTGGATTGGTTTTAATATTGCTTGCTTACCACAGATAGATGCTGTAGCAAAAAGTCGGGATGGAAAATTCCGTATTGTCAGCAATGATGAGCGAGAACAAACCTTGAATCAGTTGCTCACTGTAAGCTCTGTGCTACAACTTAGTTTTGAGCATTTGTAACTTTTGGCGACATTCCAGTGACATTAATTAATGCTTGAATTCTCATTGTAGGAGATGGATGGGTTTGACAGCAATTCTGCGGTTATTGTCCTTGGAGCAACTAATCGCTCAGATGTCTTAGACCCAGCACTTCGTCGACCAGGGAGATTTGATCGTGTGGTTATGGTTTGTATTTTAGTTCTAGTACCCCTCTCATTGTCAAAAATGATATGAAAGAAAGTTTTAGTTGGGAATAATTTTTTTCATATATGTATGTACGTGCATATAAATGTTATATCACATGAAATCTTTTCCCGTTTTCCGATAGGTGGAAACACCAGATAGGACAGGAAGAGAAGCGATTCTAAAAGTGCATGTTTCCAAAAAGGAACTCCCTTTGGCAAAAGATGTTTACCTTGGTGACATTGCTTCTATGACTACTGGCTTTACTGGGTATATATACGGAGCTCACTGTTCAGTCTGTTTAGAATATGTACTGAATTATAAATAATTAAATGAATGAATAAATTGTTGTGTGTGTGACTAACACATTAGGAGTGATGTTTCTTATTATATTTTTTGCAGGGCAGATCTTGCAAATTTGGTGAATGAAGCTGCTTTATTGGCCGGAAGACAAAGCAAGGTGGTTGTGGAAAAAATTGATTTCATTCAAGCTGTGGAGAGATCAATAGCTGTAAGTCTCCCTCTTTCTCAAATATTAGTTAAACCTATTTTCCTGAAATATGATTCAAAACCGTAACAAAATTGTGTTTGATTGTTTTTCAACCTTTTCTCTTTCTTTTATGTTCCGAGCTGATTCTGATGTTAGGGTTTCTTTTCATGACTTTCTTGTGCTGGTCTATATTGTGGGTGCATTGTGGTTTTGTTTTATATTTATGCAACCCTCTTGGTCTTTACCCCGATCGTCAGAAGTGCCTGTACTTGAATGCTGCTCTTATGACCAAGGAGAGCCCCATTCATTGGTTTTTTTTCTTTTTGGGTTCTTATGAACATGTTTCTCTTGATGTATAACTTTAATAACACATCTTCCACCCTATTGTTGTTTTAACCACCCTGTGCATTGAGGTGTGTTTTCCGCTCAGGTGCATTGGGGTGCATACTGTTCAGTGACAACATTTTTAAAACAACAAGTTATTGTTTTCTGATTAACTAGTACATAAACTTAGCCGAATTACTTGTTATAGGGCATAGAAAAGAAGACTGCCAAGTTGCGGGGAAGTGAGAAGGCTGTAGTTGCACGGCATGAAGCTGGTCATGCAGTAGTAGGGACTGCCGTTGCAAGTCTTCTTCCTGGACAGCCACGTGTTGAGGTGAGTTCAGTACTGAAATTTGTTCACGAACAGATTCAAAAAAAGTAACTTGGAAATATTAAGTGAGAAATAGGGAATAATTGAGGTCATGTTCACGCAATAGCATATATTAACTTCCAAATTAGATGGATACATCTTACCCAAAAAACAAAACAAAAAAACATGGATATACTAATTATTCTGTGTGTTATCAGAAATTGAGCATATTGCCACGGTCAGGAGGGGCATTGGGCTTTACTTATACTCCTCCGACAAGC